GGCCTCCATTGTTGCCCCAGCTGCACCTGGGAAGCAAGCCATCCTAGCCCTTTTTTAAACAATGCTGGGTCCTTTCATAACCAGCACTGGGTCATTCTTATATAGCTGCTCCCTCTACATGCCGAAATATTAATCAGTCCTGCAACTCAACCGCACGTGTTCCTGTGACGGATCGTTCCTTTTCTCTCCATAGATATAATAACTTGGCATTTAGCTTCTCAGCCTCACCATAAAACTTGTCAAACCTCAAAACGCCATGACTTACCATTTATTTCAGTTTCCATGAGCAGAACATCACAGATCACCAGTGAGCCTATTTTTCTTTATCATTGGTGCCTTTTTTTGTCCCTTGGTATGTTGGGCAGGAATAGAAAAGAGTTTTGACCTGAAGAATTTTCTATACTCCCTTTGAATTGGGTTCCGTATGAGGGGAGTCACATCCCATCCCCTTTCCCATATTCTGTTGGTTAGAAGCAAGCCACAGGTCCCCCCCACATTCCAGGGGAGAGGACTGCACAAAGGTGGGAATAGCAGGAATAGCAGGAGGTGAAGATGTAGCAGTCACCTTAAGTTCTATAGTCACAGAAGTTTACAGTTTACTATGGGGACTCTGGGGAGTCACTGAAAGGTTTTTTTGTTTGTTTGTTTGTTTTGCGGTGCGCGGGCCTCTCACTGTTGTGGCCTCTCCCGTTGCGGAGCACAGGCTCCGGACGCACAGGCTCAGCGGCCATGGCTCACGGGCCTAGCCGCTCCGCGGCATGTGGGATCTTCCCGGACCGGGGCACGAACCCGTGTCCCCTGCATCGGCAGGCGGACTCTCAACCACTGCGCCACCAGGGAAGCCCACTGAAAGGTTTTAAGTACAACAGCTAAGAAGCTGTTGCAGCCAAACATGTAGGAGTGGAGGGTGGCCTGAATAAAGGTCATGGCCATGTGGGTTATAGAGACCTTTAAGCAGGTTTAGTCAACAAAACTTGATGGTGATGGGATATGAGAGGTGAAGGACAGGGGAAGCCAAGGATAAATGATGCACAGTTTCTGGCTTGGTCAATGGTTGGGGGAAGCAGAAAACCTGGAGCGGGAGCCAGTTGGAGTAGAGTAAAGTGGATGATTCCAGTGGGGCTCAGCTCTGATTCTCACCTCCCCGAGCTCCAGCGGCTCTGTGGCCTCAGACTGTCTCTCTTTGCAAGGGAGTCCCGGTAAGGTAGTGTTAATGGAGCACAGCAGACTTCCCACCATCAGCAAAACAACCTGAAACACTTGGTCTTGCCAATGGAATCAGCAGGACTCTGAACATCGTAAAGGAACTAAATAGTTGTGTTCCTCTGAAATGGCCGTCTTAGTTTGTAAAGCTTTTTGCTTCAATGACTGATGTATGCCAGGAATGCGTGACACAGTGATGTTGTTGTCATGGTGATGCCTGTGTGTCTTTATTCTCAGCAGGCTGTCTCAGTTTGTTGGACTCTTTCAATCACCAGCTTTCCTTACTGCTGCAGCAAACAGGCAAGGGAGTGTTCCCCTCAATTATTGTTGGGATTCTGGTGCATCTTGTTTTCACGGGGGTGAGGGAACCTCACCGTTTCTAGAGAAGAAGTGCTCTGAGAACAATTTAAAAACAAGAATTTGAACTAAGATAGTAATTGTTTGGCACCTAATGCATTTCAAAGCACACTTAATTCTCTACCAGGGTGTGAGAGGTGTGAAAAGTCAGCTTATCGAAAGAAATATATACCACGTTCAAGTAACTTCTTACACATCAGAATTTTTAATATTTGAGCTAATTTTAAGATGAGGAGTTCTTTCCTGCATTTTTTTTTTCCCTCTGAAAAATTCTCCAAAACCAGAGTGACTCAAGCAGAGCCTGGAAAATATTGGAGAATCACATGATGGCTAAAAATAAGCACATCATCTCCAGCAGGGACAGTAACCAGGGCAGAAGTAACTCAGTTCTTGAATGCTCACACTGGCTGGACATGCTCGGCAGAGTCAGGCCCACTCGCCCATCTCAGTGGCCACCGGTCAGGGAAGCCTCCGGCACTGGGGCTCTGGGCCCTGGCTGTCGGTGTTGCTCCCCGGCATACTTTTGCAGGGCAGAGCCGGTCAGCACACTGTGTGATGACCCTGAGCTGGGAGTAGGCTGGGAGGGACACCGGCTGACTCATAGCTCTTGTCACCGCCTCGTCCTCCTTCAGCCGTCCCCTCGGAACCAAGAGCGGATGCTGTTGGTCCCAGAATGTTGCTGTTGATGTTGCACAACTTAAGTTGTGATAAATGCCTGGATATTTGGTGCCTGTTCTATAGGGTATATCGTAGGGTTTTCTAAACTGTAGCGTTGTAAATGCTTTCCCAAAACCAGAACTCATCTTGAGCACTCAACTGCTCATCCCCAGGGGTATGACTGCAGTAGCCTCCCAGCTGGCAGAGGGGGGCCTCCTAAAACCCAAGTCAGATCATGTCACTCTGCTCAGGACCCTGCCATGGCTGCCCTTTTCCATCATAATGAAAGCCAGCCTCCAGCAGTAGTCCGTGAGGTCCTTGGTGACCTGCACTCTCCTCCCGCGGCACCCGTGCTCCCTCTGCTACAGCATCCAGACTGGCTGCGGAGCAGGCGAGGCCACGCCTTGGCACTGGCGCTGGGCCTTTCCTCTGCCTGGAATATTCTGCTCCTGGCTGTCCGGAAGGCCAGCTTCACCTCTCTCAGGTCTTCGCTCAGATCTCACTTTCCCAACGAGGCCTTGAAGAAGTCAAGGTGACTCCTGCAAATGGCATGTCCCCTGCAGGGATCCTGGAAGTTGCAACTATGGAGCTGTTACAACACACGTCGTCTTCTGTGAGAAGGGAGGCTGTGAGCTGGGGTGAGCCCCACGCACATCCGGTGTGGATCTCGCCTCCTTGCATCCCTGCTGGGCTGCTGCACGACTGCCACCAAGGAGACTTGGGCATTTTGACCCCTGTCCTTCTGGGTGGACTCAGGGTCTGGGGGGACCCTTCTGAGTGAGGGTTTGAGACTGGAGGGGATCATGATGGGTGCTCAGGCCTTCCCTGAAGTTCCTGTTTAAAACCGTCACTCACCCAGCCCTACCCAGCACTCCTTACCCCTGCCCTGCTCTGCCTCTCTCCATGGCATTTACTTTCTAGTTTATTATGTCACTTATTAATTTATTATTGTTATCGTTTATTATCTAATTTCCCTGTTAGAATGTAAATTCCACAAGGCCCAGCGTCTTTTGTGTTTCATTCAGTGTTCTATCCCAAGTGCCTGTAGCTTGCCAGGTACACAGTAGGGGTGCAGTAAATACTTGCGGCAGGAATGAGTGAATTGGGGAAATTTCAGAAGGCGCACAGAGACTTGGGTGACAGTCCACCAGTCCTCAAGACAGAGAGTGCGGAATGGGGGAACCGAAGCCTGGGAGCCCACTGGTGGGTTATGGGTTAACCAGTTTTTATAAAGATTTTCTTTATAAAGATTTTCTTTAAATAAAATGAGTCTCATTTCCTTATTATTTCAGCAGTTTAGTTTTTATTTTGCTAGTGTCTAGAAATGGGAAACCCGTGTGCTTTCTCGTCATTAGTTGAATCAGGCCTCGTTTGCTGAGTAATAATGATCGGGTACACTTACTGTGTGCCAGGCTCTTGTGTAGGAACTTTCCATGTATTAACTCAGGTACTCTTCCCAGCTCTGGGAAGGAGGCACTGCTACTGACTCTGTAGAACATAAAGAAATCCGGGTGGCAGCAAAAGTCACGCCACCAAGCAAGCAGCAGAGCCAGGATTACTACGAAGGCTGCAGGCTGCAGGGCGCCCCCGCTCTTAACCACTGCCTCCCTCGGGGAAGATGAAGGACACCCAGTTCATACCAGGTCTTCATTCCCACAGGATTGATGTGGTTCAGTCTCGGCTGTGTAGAGCCCCTCCCCAAGCTGCTTAGAAGTGGAGCTGCCCACTTTTATAAGCTGACACCAAAGTGGCAAAAAGGAAGAGCCCAATTTTGCCAGTGGCTGCTCTGGTGGGACAGAAGCCATAAGGGCTCTGAACTACTAATTTGAGAGTAAAAGAGCCACCCTCTTAATGACCTCATGAATCAGGGCATCCCAGAACCCCTGTTAAAGTTCCATTTGGACACAACATTGGCCTCTGAGGTGGGTTTTGGTTTTTTTTGGTTTTTTTTGCGGTACGCGGACCTCTCACTCTTGTGGCCTCTCCCGATGCAGAGCACAGGCTCCGGACGCGCAGGCTCAGCGGCCATGGCTTACAGGCCCAGCCGCTCTGCGGCATGTGGGATCTTCCCGGACCGGGGCACAAACCCATGTCTCCTGCATCGGCAGACGGACTCTCAACCACTGTGCCACCAGGGAAGCCCTGAGGTGGGGTTTTTTTTGTTGTTGTTGTTGTTTTTGCTCTCAGGGCAGAGCAGACTACAGAACCTACAAAGTGAAGGTATGGAGGCATTTTCGAAGGAAAGTGTGAGATCTTGAATTTGCAATGGTCAGGGTTGTGTGGGAGCTGTTAGTCATTCCGCAGTGTGACAGCTCTGGTGTCAGTTTAGTCACTTAGGAAACCCTCTTCCTGTGGGAATTGTCTCTTTTCATCAGTCCAACCCCATACCCTCTCCCCCAGCAGTGGCCTTATTTACTTATTTATTTTAACCTGGTTCATATCTCAGTTAAACTATAAAACCTGTTTGCCAAGGTAAAGGGGATAAGGAAATGATGTCAGGTCCATCCACAAATGATTAATCAGTGTAGGTACAAGGTATCTTCTGTCATGTTTCAGTTCTGTGGGGTTTAGGTTTGTTTTTATTGATATATAATTGACATATAACCTTATATCAGTTTCACAGTTTGCAAGGCAGAAATAGAGACACAGATGTAGAGAACAAACGTATGGACACCAAGGGGGGAAAGCAGGGTAGGGGGTGGTGGTGGGATGAATTGGGAGATTGGGATTGACATATATACACTAATATGTATAAAGTAGATAACTAATAAGAACCTGCTGTATAAAAAATAAATTAAATTTAAAAAAACAAAAAAATTATTAGTTTCAGGTGTACAACAATGATTCAATGTTTATATATATTACAAAATGATCATCACAACAAATCTAGTTAACAACCATCACTACACAGAGTTACAAGTTATTTTCCTCTTGTGATGAGAACTTTTAAGCTCTGTTCTCTTAGCAACTTTCAAATATGCAATACAGTATTATTAACTGTATTATTACTGTAACTGTGTAATGCCATGCTGTACATTACATCCCAGGACTTATTTATTTTATAACTGGAAGCTTTACCTTTTGATCCCCTTCACCCATTTCATCCCTCCCACTCCCCGCCATGGGCTTTTTAATTCAGTGGCGGGGGGCTGGGGGGATGCTCTCAAAGTAGAGAAGAAGCTGGGGACGACCAGAAGCGTGGTTGCTTCCTGAGTGTGTGTGTGTTCTTAATGTCTCTGTGGTTCTTGTCAACAGTATTAATGTCATATTTTTAGCTCCTCTGTTTATGATTTTGGCAGAAAGAATACGGCAGATTATGTGAGAAGAATTTCTAAATTCCATCAGAGCCCTGGCTGCGAAGGATAAAGCCAAGTATAAAAAAGGATAAAGTGCTTTTATTTGCTTCATCGTTATGAATTCATTGGGCCTCATAGGCCCAAAATGTTGGCACATTTTCCATAAACATTAAGCAAGCTACTAATTATTGACATTAGACACAGCAGTGCTCTGGCTTCACTAAGGCAGTGAATCAGGCCACTCTTTGTATTTTACAACTATGGTTTAAAATGTTTTAGCATCATATTTATACCCCAGCTCCTGAAGGCATTAATTAAGACAACTGCTCAAAGACTAGCATTGTAAATCATGTCCATATCCAATGGGTAAAGTCAGAGAATTATAGGGACTTGCAAGGAATTTATGTCTACTTTCCACCGCTTCTGAAACTCCTTTTTTATTTTGAAAGGGGAAATTAGTGGAGAGAGAGAAAAGCTTGAGGGAAAAATGATTCTTGTAAAACAGGACTACCACTAATTATATTTTCAGGACATCATTAAATGCAGCTCGACAAAAAAATTGAAATGTTTGATAGCTGCAGGAAAAAAAAATCTGTTATCTGTATTATTATTATTATTGCCAAAGTAGCTGTACTCCCTTTAAAAGCTATTATGTAAAATGTTTTTCGTTTAAGCATCATTGAGCAGAGAGGCATGGGAAGGCCCAGTAGTGAAATCACCAGTGGACTTGGAGGCATTTAGGGAAGCATGAAGGCAGCTTTTGAGAACCTCAGTGTCTAAAGCCAGGATTAGACACTATAGAGGACATTATTGGGTCACTTCACAAAAATGGAATATGAATTGACATAAAAGTATTATATCAGTGTTAAATTTACTGACATTGATAACAGTACAGTTTTCTGATAACATCCTTATCACAGCAGCCCGGGTGAGTGAAAAAAGAATATCTGTCACCCCAGAAGCTGGGTACTCCTTAGGGTATGGTGTTTTGAAAGAAGGTAGCAAGGCTTGTAAAACAAATAAACAAAAACCTAGTTTTTAACCGACTAATGAGCATGATATAATATAGGATATTGTCTATCATTATTTATTCTAATAAGTTAAACCATGGAATCATTCAACACAATGAACAGAAGGTTGCATTTTCATCTTTATACATTTTAGTATTTTAGCCTTAATCACGTGATAGCCGTGAGTGGTCAATTACGTTCATATCAAATTGCAGCCTGTGAGGATTTAAAGAGCTCAGTTTACATTCTTTTGAAAATGAGCTTTGTGTGGTTTTTAAAAACTTTTAACCTCTGAAGATACTAAGATCTCCCTCTGTCTTTCCTGGTCTTTCATTTCTTTGCGTTTATTCGTTAGAAGGTAGAAATGTACAGTTAACTTGGTGCTGACCTCTTGTATTCTCATTCATCAGACATGCATTTCCCTCGATTATCAGTTTCTTTCCAAACAACTTAATCAGAATTTCAGAACCCCTCTCATTTTAAATTTCAAATTCTAATTACTTAATTGAGCTATTAAATTTTTCAAATTTGTTTTCCATTCTTTGTCCATATTCTGGGGGCAGAAGCTTTTCTTCTGTCCCCCGTGTAGGGAGCATAGCGGGTAGAGCGTGGACCAAACCCCCTCTTCTCCACTGTCCCCTCCCCTGCCCTGCAGCAGGGGGATGCCAGGTCTGACTCTCACTGCCTTCATCTTTCTCGTCTCAGAGACCCACAGCCTGCATGCACGTGTGCCAGTTTGAAGGACCTGGGGCTCTGCACCCCAGCTGACCTTTACAGGATCCGTGAAACACAGATGCCACTTTAATGCCGAGACCCTGTGAACCACAGTAAAGTTGGACTCTGTCAGTAGCAAGGGATGTGTTTCTTCAGGAAAAAGCTGGAACTGGGACAGCGTCAGTAACTGCAGCAGCTCTGGCCTCTCTGCCGTGAGCCACCCGGCATCTCCTGTGACCCCATTTCCCTCCCAGCCAGCTTCCTCTGCGTATTTTTAGGCTTTCTTTCCCTGATAACTTGGTCTTACATGGGGCTTTGGCTTGCCGTGACCTCTTCTACTTTAACTTCATATCAAACGTTTCAGGTTTTTCCAAGCTGCATTTGATGATGTCCTGATAATATAATCAGTGATAACCTTGTTTTACAAGCAATCAGCTTCTATTCCTTCCACGCTTTTCTTTGAAAATTTACATGAGACTGGGTGAGGCAGAGTATAAGAACATGAGTGTGTCTGGTGGACCTCGCTCAGCTCCTGCAACCAGCCACGTCATAGCTGCTGACCTGCTTAGGGAGGCCTGCCCAGGCTGGGTGGGTGGGTCACTTGCTCTGCAGGGAAGCCCCTTCCCCAGAGCTATTCTCTTCAGAAGAGGCATGGGCGGAAGCATGGCAGAGACTTGGATAGGACAGCCCAGCAAAAACCATCTTGCTCCTCCCTACTCAGAGTTAACCGTTTACTGACTGAATTTACCCACATGAACTACTGTCTTGACTCCATCTATACAGGGCCTAAGTAATAATGGAAGGTGAACTTGAAACCAAGTAAGAGATCTCTTTCTGGGAGGCTGGTGGGTTTTGTTTCGTTTCCTTCAGGTGTTGCTGGCTCCGGCTGTCAGTGACTTTGAGGTTGGCATCAGCTCCTCGAGCTTCCCCTGGGATCTTTACCCTGGATAGATGCCTGTCCTAGGCGTTCTTTCATGAGTTATAAAAACTTATTTTTGAGTGTCTCCTCTGGATCAGGCATTGTGCTTGGCCTTGGGAACATAAAATAGTAAACAAAACAGACTCAACTCCTACTTCGTGGGGATTAAGTCTAATGGGAGAAGTAGGCATTAAATAAATCACTGTACCATTACCGTTGATGGGTGCTATGTGAAGGGTGTGTGAGCCACCACATTTAAGCTGAGACCCGAAGGCTGTTAGACATAGTCACTCAAAGGAGGGGAGGAAGAATTTCAGGCAGAGGGAACACAGCCCGATCCCAATCCGTGGTCGTGTCTAGAACATTGCCTTGTTCCTGAGAATGTTGAGTGTGGCCATGCCTGGGCTTTTTTTTTTTTTTTTTTTTTTTAAATATACATTCATTTGCTTTATTTTTTAGATTCCACATGTAAGTGATAACATAGAGTATTTGTCTTTCTGTCTGTGGGCATTCTTAAATGACCCACTCCCACCAGGTCATGAGCTCCTGTAGAGCAGGGACTTCCAGTACAGGGCTCATGGTAGGCACTTAATAAATATGTATTTAGTAAATAAGAGGGGTTGGTCATAGACAGTCTTTGAGCCACTTTCTGTTAGACTATTTTTATATTAAAATACGACAGATTGCTCATGAAAAGGTCTGAAGTAACTTGATTTTTCAAAAGCTGCTTCCCCAGCGAGGCTGGCTGGTGGCCACCCTTGGAGAACGCTGTTTGTCAGGTCAGCACGTCCTCGCCCTGCCTCTCCTGCTGTTTTCCACGCTGTGTTCTTTACCCTGTTGGCTTAGCATGGAGTTAGAGAAGCTGGCCAATGGGACACGGAAGCTATGTCCAGGAGTGTGTTTTCTGGGCTTTTGCAGAGATGAAGCCTCCTCACAGCTGTTGAGCAAAGCAAAGCATCCGCTCTCTAGACAACTTGGGAAGTTCCGCTGCATAGGTGAGGTTTCCAGGTCACTGAAGGTTTGAATACTCAAACTTTTTAAGTCATTCCTAATTTAAGCATCCTCAGTTTTACATATATTAGGCATTTCCCTGTATTTTTAGAAGAATTCTTTCTTTCTTTATAACAGGCATGTATTTTAAACGGTATGTTACTGTCAGTGCTTCTTGAGGGTGTGTATGACTCTGCATCTCTCATGACTCTGAAGACATACAGATAGGAATTTTATAGTCTTCCTGCTTGCTACTTTGTAATTAGGAGATTGGTTGAAACTTGTAACTGCTGCCAGGGTGCTTGCCTTTTTCTGATCTCTTAGTACCAATAAACTGTAAAATTGGAAACCATACAACCAGGTTTTATTTACTTGTTCGTGTATTTAAACATTTGTTCCTTCATCAGATATGTGTTCCGCCAAGTATTGTGCTAAGCACTGAGGTTGCAAAGCTGAGCATGATGAGTTCCTTGCCCTCCAAGAACCAGAGGAGCAGAGTGTGGGGGGACTGTGGTGGAGAATTGGGCCAGCGGGAGCACCTACACCAGACTGAGCTGTTCTGAGTAAGAGGGAATGGCTGGGCCCCAGTAATGACCCTGAATTTCTAAACCCATGGAGTGTATAAACTTCACTGCATATATCTTGTGCCATCTGTTTTGCCTGCAGAGGCCATTTCCTGTGTCTGTCAAGTTCTAGATAGTGAGAGCCTGTCATGAGCTGAGCTTCAGGTAGATGAGGTCTTACCTGACATCAATGGTCCTATTTTTTTTTTTTTTTGGCCAATTTCTATCATTATTAGTGATGCTACTGAATAACTTGGTTAAGGTCCCAATCCTCAGGCTTCCCTGTTGTAAAGGCATATCTTTCACCCTTTATAAGCAACTTATAGGGCAGCACCTTGACACGTGTAAACATCCCGTCCTCCAAACACTTCTCAGTGTTTTAGAGTCAATTGATGAAACTTTCCTGAATCAGTTATGTGTATTGCAAAACTGTGATTTTTCTAGCATTATCTTTAGCATTTACTGGCTGTCAGTGTTCTGTGGAGATATTTGGATTCTCCCTCTCCCCTACCCTCATTATGGACTAGATTTTTATTTATTCAGTGCATTGTAATACATTACAGCCATCACTTTTTTTGGTATGCAAATGGTCCAAGTCTGGCCAGTTGGGAGCCCCTTTGGGCTGGCCCCTGACATTCATTAATCCTTGAGCACATCCTTGCTTTTTTACATGAGATGTCCCAGGCCCACCTTGTCCTTTCCCTGCCCCAGCCCTGGAATCAGCCATATCATATCTCAAGAAGCCCTTTTATTGCAGAATAACATTTAGAAACCAGGACTTGGGCACCAGGAGTGCCTGTTGCTACAGAGATATCATGGCTCCTAGACGCTTTTAATGGCTAAAACTAGGAAATACATTAAAAGAGGAAAAAATAGACATGTGCATTGATATTTCTCCTAAAGTGTTATTCTCTTATAAGGTCTGTGTTAGAAATTCAATTATGGTGATGCTCTGAGCTTATCAAAGAACCTTCCCTCTTTAAAAAAAAAAAAAAAAACAAACTTAAAATCCCTTTGTATCTGTTCTCATCTCTCTGGAGGGAGAAGGGACAACCGCATTAATCTCATGTCACTTGAGAAAAACAACCAGTGCTCAGAAAGGTTAAGTAAGTTGCCCAGGATGATTCTGTCATTTTATCGAGTACACTCTTTCTAAGCGTATCTGTGCTACTTCTGTGCTGGCAAGAGATCACTGGCAGTGTCTCTTCTGTGTTTTAGTAAATTCCTTTTATATCACACTTTTGCTACATACCTAAAAAGCATTTCCAATGTTGCCAATATTCATAATTTATTCTGGGTCCTTTCAGGTGCGGCTAAATCAAGTCCAGCATCTAAACCAGGATCCACACCTTCTCGTCCCTCATCAGCCAAAAGGGCTTCGTCCAGCAGCTCAGCATCCAAATCTGATAAAGATTTAGAAACACAGGTCATACAGCTTAATGAACAGGTAACTTGGCATCCCCAGCTCTGTCTCTGGGAGCAGTGACAGGTGTCAGGGGGTGAGATGAGCAAACTCCTATGGGCTTGGGATAGGGGGAGGGAAGCCGCGGGGATCAGTGGCTTCAAGCAAGTAAGAATGAAAGGAACTATTGGGGCAGATAATCAGTGGCCCATTGTGAATAAAAGATGTTAAGTCACAAATCTCAAAGCTATACATTGAGACAGAGGGACAGATGACTCGGCTTTAGGTAAATGCAGGTATGCAGGCCAGCCTCCCCCTCCCGTACACCTCAGTGCCTGTTAGGAGCTCCAGGCTAGACCATGGCCACTTCTAGCCAGTTTAGATTGTGTTAAAGGCATCAGGGGTTAGTCTCCCTCCTTCCTTCCTTTCTTTCAGCAGCTATCTGTTAAGGCTGTTCGATGTGACAGACACTATACTTGATGCTAATAATATAATGGCAGCAAGATAGAGAGCTTCCCTTCCCTCATAGAACTTACAGATAGCAGCCACACACCATTGTCTATTACACAAGCAAAAGCCAAACGGCCGAACACTTCCCGCAAGAGTGAAAGTACACAGGAGCACTGAACCCAGGAATAGGGCATCAGAAAGGCCACAGTTAAATAGAACTTTCCTTTTTACCTAATATCCCTAGGATTGCAGTAAATCTAGGTCTACTGCCTTCGAAATTTTCAATATAAAAGCTTAGGTACGCTTTCTAACAATAGCTAATTTTGCCCAAGGGTATACATAGTTTAAAAGTAATAAAACAATTGGTAGCATAGGGCCCAGCGCAGAAACCACCCACCCTTGCCCTGAGTTAGGAGGAGAGTCTTTTTTTTTTTTTTCTGTACGCAGACCTCTCACTGTTGTGGCCTCTCCCGTTGTGGAGCACAGGCTCCAGATGCGCAGGCTCAGCGGCCATGGCTCACGGGCCTAGCTGCTTCGCGGCATGTGGGATCTTCCCGGACCAGGACACGAACCCATGTCCCCTGCGTCGGCAGGCGGACTCTCAACCACTGCGCCACCAGGGAAGCCCAGGAGGAGAGTCTTTTATCCTGGCCACTCCCACCCCTGGGAGAAGAGCCAATATCCCAGGTGCCCAGGCTGTTCCCAGCCACTCACTGGGCATGGGCAGATCCTGGTGATTAATCTGATTCTTGATGAGCCAGCAAGAGTCTGGAAACAGTTTTTGAGATAGTTGTATATTTGCAAACAAGAATCTAGTTAAAAAGCAAGCAGTTGCTTAACTAGGGTGTTTCTTTACAGTTCTGAACACTTTAATGAAAAAGGTAAAACCTTAAGTCATCCGGTGCATAGGACTTTGATTTAGAAACTGTGGAATGTTCTAATTACCTGCTGATCCTCAGTTTGAGCCCTTATACAATTTCCAGCAATGAGTTCTCCTAGAATGAAAGGCAGTTAGTACTGAGACTGAGCTCTAGAGCCCACGAGCCACAGCTGCTGAGCCCGTGTGCCGCAACTACTGAAGCGCGCGTGCCTAGAGCCCATGCTCTGCAACAAGAGAAGCCACCACAATGAGAAGCCCGCTCACCGCAATGAAGAGTAGCCCCCACTCACCGCAACTAGAGAAAGCCCGCAAGCAGCAACAAAGACCCAACGCAGCCAAAAATAAATAAATAAAATTTAAAAAGAAAAAGGCAGTTAGGACAGCCCTAATTAGCCTTGGGACACATGCCTGAGGCTCTAAGCAAAGTAGACCTGAAGAGAGTCGGGTGTGGGTCTGTAATACTTCAGATTTATAACCGTTTTCTCCGTAGGACTCAAATTCTTTTGATATCTTTATTATCAAATGTTTCTTCATCTACCCCTACCACACCCAGTTTCCCAAACCACCAACCCAAAGTAGAAACACAATGGAACCTCGAGATCCTGCCTGCCCCTCTCTCGCTTACGGCCTTCGCCAACCAGCCCCACTTCCTCTCCTTGGGGCTGGCTCTGGGCTCCCAGTAGCTCTCCAATCACACACAGAGCCCCAAGGGCCCCAGCCGTCTACGATGCTTCAGCTAAACTGTTGTCCCATCCAAAATGCCACTCTAGAGAAGACACGGAGAAGCACATTCCAGTGGCCTTCCTCCTCCTGGTTGTAATTCCTTCATTACTTCCAAAGGCCTCACTCCCGGGCTGTCCCCCCATGCATTCACATGGAGGACCGTGTCCCCGTACCTCCATCTGCCCCCCAGAGGGAAGGTCGGACACATCCTACATTGTAAGCCTTCATTCAGCAGCTGTTTACTGAGCGCCTCCTTCAGCTGTATTTCCAAGGCTATGTTAATGCTCCCTCCATTTTCTGTCCCCGAAGCCTACAGGGTGCTCCCCAAAACTGGTGGGGAGCCACACACAGTCATCACTGTGTTGGAATTGAGGACACGAAGACGAGGAAGGGCCAAGTAAAAATGCCCGGACCAAAGACTGAATTACAGTGGTAATAGACAAAGTGACCAGTGCCGTAAACGTTAAGAATTCTCATTCACTTGGCCTCATGCCTTGATTTGGGCAGTCTCCCATGACATGCTATGAAAGCCCCACTGTGTTAGAGAATTTCAATGATAGAAATGAACCAAAAGACACAGGGGAGGAAAAGACATGACTAAAATAATCAGGGGTTGTTTCTGGAGAGTAGGTGAGCAAACAGGTGGTGGGATGGGGTCCCTGCTTGTGCTCGGGGACCAGGGGGGCTGAAGAGTGGGGCCTGGTTAGCCCTCACAGACACTGTCCATGGCTCGGACTGGAAGGCTGGGCGGATCTACAGTGTGTGGACACCTGAGCGGTGGAGAATTGGGAGAAGAGAACTTCCCCTTGACTTTTCTCAAGGGTCCATCCCCAGCATCGCCTCCACTGCTTAGGCTCCTGCTCTGACATGTGCGGGAGCAAGGAGGCATCGGAGTGGGACTGTGAAAATGGCATCCCATTTGCCAACGGATCTTTCATCAAGTAGTTTAGGTCCTATTGGTTTTTACCAAGGAAAGTTTATAGCTGTGCATCTGTTAACCTCATGCATCTGGAATAGCAGCACAGGCCAACCTGGGCTGGGTGTTTCTACAAAGCCTCAGCTCTTGGTTCACTGTACAGACCACAGCACTTGAGAGGCTGACAAACCTGGTTTCCATGGGTCAGAGGCATCCAGAGACCCTTCTTGCCCGACACAGGGAAGGGGAGCTGGCAGACAGCAGACACCTAAACTACCACAGATCCGCTGGTGGCACCAGTGCAGGCTTGAGATGGGTCTGTGGTCGAGTCTGGGCGGGGTGGGGGGGGAGGTTCTAGAATAAACAGTTTTCTTTCTTCTGGAATTCAGCCAACTGGGTTGCCTTCCGTTTTTACAAATGTCCAAGCCATAGTATTATCAGAAATAAGAGTTAAAAGTTAGTGACTGAGGGAGTTCCCTGGCAGTCCAGTGGCTAAAGACTCCGTGCTTCTACTGCAGTGGGGCATAGGTTCAATCCCTCGTCAGGGAACTAAGATCCTGCAAGCCGCAAGGCGTGGCCAAAAAAAAAGAATAGTTAGCGACTGATCCTCCTTTGCTTTGTAACCAGCTACATGAGGGCATCAGTGAGGTTTAACTCTGAGGAAGAACCATATCCTTGAGTCTTACTGGATGGACACAAGTTTGCCAGGTGCACAAGGAGATGGACACTGCATGTGCTGAGTATCTGTTTGAATGAGTCAATAACTCCAGACAGATAAATAGCATGTACCAAGGCCCGGAGTTACTAGAAACAGAGAGATTTTCCACTCCAAATGTAATCTTT